GCGACTGTCACACTGAATTGATATTAAACAAATCTCTTAAAGACAAAATCTGGGGACCAATACCTCCAAAGCCAGGCCCAATATCAAGACATCAGCACCCAGAACTACTAACCTTAAATTAAATAATTATTTGAACGAATACTGGTAGAGGAATTTTAAAGGCAAGTTGACCTTGCTGACAAACAGCAGGCACAAAACAAGTTGGGATCACAGTGCTCTGGTTTTACCTCACAGCATTCTCAGTGACAATATTTGACTTTTAAAATCAATCTGACAATAAACCACCGTAAAAATAGAGGGGTTTATGATATGACATCCAGCAGCTCGTATTTTAAGACACAGGAACCCAGCAGGCAAACCAGTTATTGACTTTTAGTGCATGCACTTCATTATCCATGTGGATAATCGATCCAGAATCCACTGAGGTGAAGGCAAAGCTGCCTGTGACCAGCAGAGTTTGGTCTTTGTTGCCCTCAAGTGCCAGATCACTGGGGGGCAACATAAACCTCAGGCCCCGTTTCCCTGCTCATTTTCCACAGTGTCAGGAGTCAGGACAGAGTGATCCTTCCCGCCCCAGCTCCAGGCAGTTTGTTCACCTCAATAACATTGAAAAGTCAGTCTTTGGTCTTCCCAAGCCGTTTTCCCAGCCAGCAGTGTCCATAGGTGTCAAGATACCCTTGGTCATTCCTCCCAGTCATCCATTGCCCACTCGGGCATGTCGGAGCAATACTCAAACCCTGCTCCCTTGTAGCGCAGGGCGTGGAGGAACATCACCAGCTCCTTGGGAGAAGGGTCCTGCCTGCTCATCCTACACTCCACACATAAAGGGTCCTTCTCTTCCCAACCCTTCTGTCCCGTTTGCCCGTCCTGATTCCCACATGAACCGAGTTCTTTGTCTTTCTCAAGCGTTTCCTGGTTGATATCAGAGTTTGGTGGACAAGCCGCTATGTCATTCCTCTCAGGATCCTTCACATTCCTCTCAGGATCCTTCACATTCCTCTCAGGATCCTTCTCGTCCCTCTGAGGATCCTTCGTGTCCCTCTCAGGATCCTTCACATCCTCAGCAGGGCAGGAATTCCCATTTAGAGGGTCAGCCTCTGCAGACTTTGTGCAGTCACCTGAATCCCCACAGTCTTTATTTTCACCACCGGAGTTCAAGTCCTCCTCGGAAATACCCAAGATCTCCAGGCTCTGCTTGGAACGATGCTCCTCCACCAGCGCCTTCAGGAGCTCCTCATCCGTTTTCCCGATCTTCCCGCCCTTCCCCCTGTCAGGACCCCACGCCTCCATGTTGTAGATGGGATCGTTGACGATGGGGTGCCCCAGATACTGGAGGTGGACCCGGATCTGGTGCGTGCGGCCCGTGCGGGGCAGACACTTGACCACGCTGGTCTTCCCGTTGTAGCTGAGCCTCTGGAAGATGGTTTTGCAGGGTTTCCCTCTGGGATCCACGCGGCACACTCCCACCTTGTAGGAAACGACCAGGACGGGCTCTTCACAGACCACCTCGTGCTCTGGGAACTCCCCCACCACCCGGCAGACGTACTCCTTCTCCAGCTACCGGGAGACACAAAGAGGAAGGCTCAGGAAACACAGCGGAAAATACACCCAAGCCCCATCCTTACTCCTCCTCCCCTTTCCCTTCCATGAAATACATCCATAGGCAGCATTTTATTACAATAGGAGAGGGGAAAAAAAATTAAATAGGCTATTTAAAGCCAAATTCCCCTCACATTTTCCCCAGTTAGCTGGGAAATCAAGGACAGAAGGGTCCGGCCTGTTTTCCCTCATATTAAATCCAGGAGCCATCTCTCTGCAGCCTTTAGTTTACAGCCCTGAAGCCAAGCCTTGAAAGAGTTTTGTTTGGGTCAAGAGACTCTGGAAAAATGGGGATTTGAAAGCCGAAAGACTGGACGATTGACATGTGTGCACTCACAAATAAACCTGCTCTCTGTTTTGCACAATCCCAGTCAGTTTGCACAGTCCCTTGGGACAGTCCCTTAGGGGAGGAGATCCCTCCCAGTCCGATATTCCCAAAATCAGTTAAATGGTTAGGGGGTTCAATCTAATGTTTTCGATTAATATTACCAAATATTTCAATCTAATATTATCAAAATCAATTAAACTTCAAGGAGATCCCTTCCAACCCAATATTACCAGAATCAGTTGAATTTTCAGGAGACCCCTTCCAATCCACTATTATCAAATTCAATTAAAGTTTTAGGAGATCCTTTTCAATTTAATATTACCCAAATTCAATTACATTTTTTAGGAGACCCCTTCTAGTCTAATACTACCAAAATCAATTAGTTTTCAACTTAGTATTTTCAATCTAAAATTACCAAATTAATTTAAACTTTTAGGAGATCCCTTTCAATCCACTATTACCAAACCCATCTGAATTTTTTCTCTGCCTTTATCTCTTGATGTTTCTCATCCTTAATATGATAAAAACAGCAACACAACCACGAGCTGTTTGGGGAACTTGGGCTCATTTAGACCTCAAGTTCGGTTGACTCAGGAGATCTCTTTCAATCTAATATTACCAAAATCAGTTCAATTTTTAGGAGATCATTCCAATCCAATATTACCAGATTCAATTAAATTTTTAGGAGATTCTTTTCAATGCAGTCTTACCAAAATCAGTTCAATTTTTAAGAGATCCTTTCCAATCCAATATTACCAAAATCAATTAAATTTTAGGAGAACCCTCTCAATCCAGTCTTTCCAAAAAAAAAAAAAATCAATTAAATTTTATGAGATTCCTCTCAACAAAACATTGCCAAAATGAGTTATATTTTTAAGAGATCCCTTCCAACCCAGTATTACCAAAATCAGTTACATGTTTAGGGTTTTCAACTTAACATTTTCAATCCAATATTACCAGAAGCAACTAAATTTTGAGGACATCCCTTCCAAGCCAACATTACCAAAACCAGGTAAATTTCGAGGAGATCCAATCCAATATTATCCAATTCCAATCCAATATTATCAAACTCAATTAAATTTTCACTCTGCCTTTATCCTGTCAAGGATGAGAAGCACCAAGAGGTAAGAACAGCAACTCGACCACAACCTGTTCAGGGAACTCGTGCTCGTTTGGACCCCAAATCTGTCTGACTTTGGGCCAAACCTGCTGCAGGAGAACACGGTACCAACGACTCCCGGCCCCGCTGCTCTCTGACCTGCCTCTCCCGGACCTGCTCGTCGATCCTCTTGGACACGGCCGCGGTCTTGGCGAACATGAGGACGCCCGAGGTCATGCGGTCCAGGCGGTGCAGGGTGTGCAGCTCCGTCAGCCCGTGCTCCTTGCCCAGGATGAAGATGACGGTGTTGTGCCGGAACCTGCCGCAGGGGTGCACGGGCAGCGAGGAGGGCTTGTCCACCACCACCACCTCCTCGTCCTCCGCCAGGATCCGGAGGGGCTGGGCAGTGACCGGCGGCTCGTGCCGGTGCACCGTGTTCCTGAGGAAGTCGTTGTTCTGCAGGGAGTACGGGCAGTCAGCCGGGATCCAGCCTGTGGACACCCCCGCTCAGTGTGGTCACGCACAGGGAGCTTGACCCTGTGTGTGTGTGTGTGTATGTATGTGTGAAACTAAAGCCCTTTTCTCCTGGACCCCGGATTTAGGATAATAACAGTGCGTGTCCCCGCATGAATCCCGTGGCATATATTCCCATTCCCAGGGGCCTGTGGGGTACATCTGGAGCTGCAGGGTCCACACGCCCCCAACCCCACAGGGGCAGGGATGCCCCGGGAGCGCCGACTGTCCCCTCCAACCCCTCCCCAGGGTTATCTGACCGCGCGGCCCGGGGGTCGCGCACCTTGAGCACGACGTGCAGGTCGCGGACGGGCTCCTCGTTGAGGCGCAGGCGGCCGGCCCGGGCGGCGGCGCGGTAGAAGTCGAGGGGCTGCGCGCGGAACTCGGTCCCGAAGACGTGCAGGAGGCTGCGCCCGACCCAGCGGCCCTTGCAGTAGGTGCGGAAATCGAAGTAGTAGGGGCGCACTTTGCGCAGCCCGCCCTCGAAGTAGTACGAGGTCTCGGCGAAGTGCTCGGCGCCGAAGCTCACGCCGGTGCTCAGCTTCCGCGGCGGCGGCACGTACGCGCTCGCCGCCCAGCCAGCCGCCGCTTCTTGGGGAAGCCAGCGCCGCTACCCTTCCTTGACCCCGTGTGGGCCCCGCCGGCCCGAATCCCGGCTCAGAGCCAATGGCCCCGCAAGTGGAAGCAGGGCGCGACGGCGGCGGGCCCCGCGCACCCACGTGGCACACACCGCGCAGAAGCGCAGCCCGTGACGCATCACTGCGCGCCGGGCGGCGCGGCCAATCGGCGCAGCGCATCTCCAGAGGCCACGCCCCCAGCACCGCCCGTCCCTTTCCCGCTCTTTTCCCGCCCCCCCCAACGCCTCAGGAGGGCGCGGGACGGGTCGGGGGCGGCAACAGCGTTATTTACCTTTATTTACCGCCTTCCTTTACCTCATAACAGTCCCCTCCTCAGAACTGTCCCAGTAGTGAGCCCCGAGCCTCAGCGCAGTCCGCCGGCCCCTCGGGAGCCTCCCCAGTCACCGCCCGCAGGAGGGGCACGGCAGGGAAAAGCCGAGAAATGAGCATTTTTCATAACCCCAGACACGGAAAAGCCAAGAAATGAGCGATTTTCTTAACCCCGGAATTTTTCATAACCCCAACAGAAAAAAAAAAAAAAAAAAAAGCCGGGAAATGGGAATTTTTTATAACCCCAAACAGGGGAAAAAAAAAGGCCAGAAAATTAGCACTTTTCATAATCCCAAGCTGAAAAAAGAAAAGGCTAAGAAATTAGCATTTTTCATAGCCCCAAAGAGAAAAGAAGCCAAGAAATTAGCATTTTTTCTTAGCCCTGAAGAGAAAAAAAAAACCCCGAACCCACAAGAAATTAGCATTTTTCATAACCCCAACCAGAAAAAAAAAAAAAAGCCAAGAAATTGGCATTTTTCATAACCCCAAAGAGAAAAAAGCCAAGAAATGAGAATTTTTTCTTAACCCCAAAATTCAGTGTTGCTGCCCAAGATTAAATTAGTGGATGCACGACTAGAAGAGAACACGCTCCCATAATTAAAAACACACAAATCAGTCTCATTGCTCTGAGACAATAACTGTGACTTCTTTTCACCAAGCATTAAGCAGAGTAGTCGATATTAAAACTGTTTTAGTGAAGGTTTAAGTATTCCTGCCTGCTTTTGGAATTCTCTGATGTTATCTGTAGTTTATCAGAGAGGATAGCTGGAGTTATCCGGATCCACTTCCTGGAAGCTGCCGTGGCCTCCAAGAGCCTTCTCTGGTCCTGCCCCTGTTCTCCATCCCTCCGGAATGAGCTCTGCTGAAGCAGAACTTCCCTTCCCTTTATCCATGGATAAAATTTCCGTTAAAAAGCAAAACCATACCGACCATCTACAGGCCTAAGTCCCACTCATGAGCTTTCTGAGGTGCCTTTAGGGATATCCATCCATGTGTCAGAGTTCGCCCCTGAGGCAAAGAAAAACCAACAGTTACTACTCGGCTCCTCGATGGCATTACATGGGGTTTACAAACACACACAGGCTCCACGAAAAGAGGAAATAAAAGTTGGCAAACCCTATCCAAGGGGAAACACCCCCCTGCTCTCCTGCTCTGCCAAGCTGCTGTTTCCTCCTCTTTTTCTTTTTTTTTTTTTTTTTTACATCTGCCAGGGATCCAGGACTCGGTCAGCAAAGCCGAGGAGAGCAAGCAGAGGGACAGATGAAGAAGGAATGTTCCTCGGGGAAGAGCAGCTCTTTACCGAGGCCACTGCTTCTCCTTGTCAGTCAGAGGGACGTAGATGACGCCCATGAGCTGGGTCTCCACGATGTGCCCGTCGCTGGTTTTGTCGTACTGCATCAGGACCTGGTTCGCTTCCTCGGGCCCAACGGGCAGGATCAGCCTCCCGCCCGGCTTCAGCTCATTCAGCAGCTGGGAGACACAGGAGTCCGAGTCAGCGCGTCGGAAACGACACCACAACCTTCCTAAGAACTTTTCTAATCGTTTTAATGAGTCATAATTGCCACTGCAGCCGGCATTTGGCGAGGCTGCTCTTCAAGGCTGCTGCTGTGGGAGAACATGGTTTGGGAAAATTGCTGGAGCTTTAAGCTGTGCTAGAACAACTGTAACCAGCCTTGATGTGCTTCAATGAACAAAGCCTGGGGGAGAGTAATATTGGATATATTGCTGAAACTGGACACAGGGAATGCTGAATTTATAGACCACAAGGACATTTTGCAGAACCCTGAGATAAAGAAGAAACTAACGAAGACAATTCAGCAATTGTACTGAAACCCTCTCTACCCTAAAAGATAATAAAAAGACTGAAAATGTGCACTAATTAGCGCGAGAAGCGAGAAACCAATAGAAGATAGAATATTAATTAATGAAGGGAATTACGTAATTTATAGCCCACGAACAGTAATTTCTTTGTTTGCTAAAATGTGTAAGTAGTGAAAAGTTTTGAAAGTCGGTGTGCATTTAGGTGGAGTATCCCCATGCACCTGGTGCTTTGAATAAAGCAATGCCTCCTTCCTAATACTGAAAATAGTTTGATTTATCCCGAGATAGTTTGATTTATCCCAATATCAGAGAGTCTGATTTATCCCGATGTTTTTGGCAACGTGCAGAGCTCAAAAAAAAAAGAGACACTGGGAATAAGCCATGCTGGAAAGGTCACGACAAATAAGAAGCTTCTAGTGGTTCCCTAATTAGTTTTCTCACCAAAAAAAAGAGGTAGAGACACCCAGCAGGGCCACTCTCACCTCCTTGGGGACGGTCGCTGCGGCCGCTCCAACGTGGATTGCGTCGTACGGAGCCTCCTCGGGGTATCCCTGCCTGCCGTCTCCAACTGCGGGAGGGAAAACACGCGGGGAAGATTTGTTCTCACAGCAACTCAAGAGCATCCACGCAGACTGGGACGACTTCGGGGAGCAGAGCCGAGGCGGTCCCGGAGAGGAGAACCCCGGGACGGCACGGAACTCACCCGCGAGCTTCACGCGGCCGGAGCTGAGCAGCGTCGGATCATCTTCCTGGACGTTCCGGATGGATTCGTGCACCAGCTCCTTGATGTGCTCCACTCCCACAGCTTTCCCTGTCGGGCCAGTCTGGAAAGATCAACATCAGTCCAACACCTGGCACCTCCCATATCAAAGAGAGGTGTTTGCTGGAGCAGGTTGCAGTGGGAATTGGAGAGCTGGCATAAGCTCCAGAGCAGAGTTTCTGAACAAGAGGTGCAAATACTCCTGATTTTAAGGCTGAGGAATCTATCAGCTGCTTAAGGGATACACAGACACTGTCCACGGGGATTCCCAGTAGTCCTTAACTGCCAAGTCTCCAAGGATTCCCAGTAATCCTTCATTGCCAAAGAAATCATTATTTGGTAGAATTAGCAGCTTCCATGGCAAGTTCTTGACTAATTATCCTCCTGAGTAACTTGACCAGCTTTCTAGCACTTCACAGCAAATAATTCCAGGAGTTTAGAAAACAAGGAAACAGACTGTGAGTAATGAAGACATAAACTAAAAGGAACCCACAGTGGACTATCCACAGTGGATAAACACACAAAATATCTCATGGCAGATACAGCCTCCATTAGATCCAACAAAAGTATTTGTTCTAAGTACAAGCTGGTCTGGGAAGAGACTCCCCTTCCTCCCACCTCCTGCTCTCCCCACCAAGAGCACATTCCCGCTGTCCAAGCTGGGAATGGGGTGCTGTGAGCTCACCATCCTGGCAAAGCATGCAGTGAGGTATCCACTTCCAGATCCCACATCCAGAGCCTTGGCACCTTCCACCAGCTGATCCTTGAGCAGCTCCAGGGCGTGGGCATGCTGTGTGGACATGGAGGTGGGAAACAGCCCGGGTTAGTCTCCTCTCCTACCCTTTTTCCTTGTTCTCCAATTTAATCCCAGCACACCTGGCCCTGTGCCTGACACTTCCAGAGTGAAACTCAAGGGTCAGACCTGGAAGGTCTTTTGGCAGAGCCACACTTAGGAAGAGGCTCAGGAATTACATGAGAAACAGCGAGGGAAAAAATGGACAACACAGAATTCCCACCTAAGCCCACTTTTAAAGCAACTGAAAGATTATAAGGGAAACTCCTCTTAAAAACAAAAAATCCCTAAAGAAACAAGCAGGATAATCATGTGTTCCACTTCCGTACTTGAAGAAAAATGAAATATAAAAAGGGAAATAAACAATTCCTTCCATTTCTGTTTGAAGTGAAGAGTTTTCATCTTACCATGTGTGGGGCGCTGATCGTGGCCTTGTAGCCTAAAAGGAAACAGGTGACAAAGTTGTTTGATAAAGAATAAAACTGCCCATGGGAACAGTCCTTAGTTCTCCCACACCTTCCCCTAAAAATAGAATTTCACAGAATCCCAGGATGGTTTGGGTTGGAAGAGACTTTAAAGCTCATCTCATTCCACCCCCTGCCATGGGCAGACACACCTTCCACTAGCCCAGGATGCCCAAGCTCCACCCAACATGGCCTTGCACACTTCCAGGGATGGGGATTCCACAGCTAGAGCTTTTCCCAAAATGACTCACCAATGGATTGAGGAGAATCCATGTACGGGTAATACTTGATGTAGTGACCTCTGTCCGTGGCCAACAGCACATCGAAGACTCGCTGGGACTTAACAATCCCTTTTTCTGGGAAGGAAGGGAGAGAGACAGGCAGGACTGAAACCCTCACCACACCAGCAAGAGGAGATCTGAAAGGGGAAGCATGTTCAGGGAGTTTGTGGATCTGGGGGAATTCAGCCTCAATGTGAGAGGGACAGAAAACAAATGCCAATGGAAGGACATCCTTTGCCATTTCCACTACGGTCCCAGCCAGCAGCCCATCCCCAGAGGGTGTTGGTGACCTGCATCCACATTGCTGGCACTGCCACGTGTAATGGGAGACAAATGGAGTCACGTTGCATTCCAAAAAGCAGAGACTCCAGCTCAGGTTTCCACAGTGAACTGAAGAGCGACTGCTCCAGAGACATTCCACGTCCCTTCCAGCCTTTCTGGGCGAATTCTGGCAGGGACTAACCAGCTCCAGCGGCAGGGGAAGCTCAGAGCTACCTCTGTGTGTGTCCCAGCCCGCTGTCCGGAGCGGAGCGGGAGCGCCGGGCACCAGGAGCTCCAACCCCCGGGGCTGAAGGCACAGCCTGGGTGTCCAGGACATTCGGCAGCACCCACAGGCTCCGAGGTGCAACTCTTTAAAGGGCGTCACACACTTCCAGAGGCAGGGAAGGAAAGCGTGCAGAGGCTTTCCTGCCCTTTCTGGCGTAACACCTTGTCTCTGGTTATAAATAGAACGAGTTCAGGCTGGGACAAAGGCCGAAATTCAGGAATATCAACCCCAGCCCTTCAGAATGAACAGCGTCACACTAAACATCCGTGCACTGGCATTAAATATCCGCACACTGGCATTCCAGCGGATCCTGCTGGGACTCACTGTAGAGGTTGTT